TAAAATATGTGCACATGACCTCAAGTCATGCCTTATTGATAAGGAGATGATGCATATACTGACTTGGGCATTTTAAAAGCTCTTTCAATGCAGTTATGTCTTTCAATGCAGTTACATTATAAATTAGAGTCATGCTTTCTTTGCCTTTTGTGTAATCAAAAGGAGACTTGCTATTGCCAGTCCCATTAGAAACTTTTTACAATAGACACATAACATTTAAATGACAAAATGATATTCCTTTTTATTGAATCAGTGTCCAAAATAAAAATACCATTTCTATATCCATACTCTACTGACAGTACTGTTCTGAATTTCAGTAATAAAATTCATAAATATTGCACAAACACATTAAACAATACCATTCTCTTCTTTAAAGATATCCACACCTAAAACATTCATTTTAATGACAAAAAATATACAGCACCATTAGAAAGGGAAAAACATATACAAAACTTGATGAGGTCATGACAGCTGTCTTCAAACACCTGCAGTATGTTCAGGTAAAGAAAGCATAAACATCTTCTCTTGCTCCACATCTGATCATATGGAAATGGCACATAAATAGAAGAAACTTCTAAGGTTTCAGCTTTTTTTTTCACACAACTCTCTATTACTTACATGATTTTTTAAAGATGCATATTATTTGGAGAATGGAGAAAACCACACCCAGAAAAAAAAAAAAAGTAGACACAAAGTTAGTAAAGCCATGAACTCTTAAAGAATTGATATAGATCCAAGATGGCTGAACAGAGAGGCCCTGCAAAGGGAAGATCTAGAACAACAAGAGAAGAATTGCAGGAGATTGACTGAGGGAATTTTTTGGTAAAGAAGGAAGAGGAACTGTAAATAGCACAGACACCTGGACAGACAGCAAGAAGAGAGGAACAAAGCACACTGCAGCTACTCCCCTGGCATCCAACCACAGGTATGCCATCTTGCCAGAGAAAGGTGAGCTGAAAGCACCACATCCCAGACCAGTGAGACTATCACAGTTCTGTGCAGCTTTAAGGCCAATCTAGAAAATCGAGCGGGATCAGAGGAACAGCTTTGCTCCAAAAATGCAACCCACATTGCTTCTACCCCTCCATCCCGTATTAAGTGGCTGCACGCAGTCCCACTGCAACCAGATGCAACCCCATCTCTGGATCTGGAGCACTTGCCAGAGCTGATAGCAGGTCCCCCCTCTTTCTGTAGCTGCAGGATTGCTGGACACAAGCCCTGGAGCCATGTTTACTGACTCTACACCATCTGGGGAAGTTCCCCTCTTGTTCCTGAGGCCTGGCACCAGCAGTGGCTGATACACAAGCTCGGAGGACCAAACCTGGGGAAGTGTCCTTTTGCATCTCTGAGCACAAGGGGCTGTGGAGGTGGGACACAAGCCCAGGAGGACTCTCACATTGCCTGCGGAAAGTGACTTAGTGTGCTAGAATATCTGGAGTACCTCACATGCATCAGTGGTTCCTGAAAGAGACTGATCTGCATTACCCTGCTTCAGGGTGGTGTCTGTCAGTCCACAATTTCCAGAAAAACTGCACTTGCTCTGGTAGCTTAAGGAACCCACTATATTCTGCAGCTCTGAGACTATGAAGTTGGCTCTGTAAGTCCCAGAGACACTTGCACTCATGCATTGGGCCTGAGGAAGGCTTTATCCGCATCCTGCTCCTCCAGATCTGAAAGTATGAAATCGTAAAAGAAAATACAGAGGAAATATTTCAAGGCATTAGTGTAAGCATTTATTTTTGTTTTTTGGTTTTTTGGTTAACACATAATAAGTGTAGGCAACAACAGCAAATCTAGACAGATGGCATTATTTCAAACTCAGAAGCTGCTTCACAGCAAAGGAAAAACCAGATTTAAGAGACATCTGACCGAATGAGATAAAATATTTACAAGCTACTTATCCAACAAGGAATTAATATTCAGAATATATCAGGAACTCAAAAAATTAAACAATAACAATCAAAATCAACCAATCCAGTTCAGAAATGAGCAAAGAATCTAAATAGACAGTTCTCAAAAGAAGAAATGCAAATGGTCAACAAATGTATGAAAAGATTCTCAATATTGCTAGCAATCAGGAAAATGAAAATCAAACCTACAATAAGGTATCACCACATTTCTGTTAGAATGGCTATTATCAAAAACATAGAAAGTAATAGATGCTGGTTAGGATGTGAGGAAAGGGGAACTCTTATACACTGTTGGTGGCAATGTGAATTAGTATACCCATTATGGAAAAGAGTACAAAGATTTCTTTAAAATTTAGAAATAGAAGAGCTTTTTGGTCAAGTAATCCCACTACTGGGTATATATCCAAAAGACATGAAATAATTGCATTAAAGAGATAACTGCGCTACCATGTTTATTGCAGAACTTTCCATAATAGCCAAGATACAGAATCAACTAAAGTTTATGGCTAAAGAAACTGTGGGAAACACACACATACATACAAACACACACACAGTGGGAAATTATTCAGAGATAAACAAATATGAAATCATTTCATTTGCTGCAAAATGGATGGAATTGAAAGAAATCACGATAGGAGAATTAAGACAGAAAAGAAACTGCATGTTCTCTCATATGTGGGAGCTATAAATAAATAACATAACAACACAACAACAACAAAACCTAAGTCTCAACACAGAATGGTGATTGCCAGAGACTGGAAGGTGTAGGAGGAGATAGAGGGAGTTTGGAAAATGGGTATCAAATCAGAGTCATATTGAAGGAATAATTTCCTAAAATTATACAGCACAGTGGAGAGACTACAGTCTACAATAAACTAGTCTACATTATATGAACAAACAGAAGGAAGAAGCTCCAAACTTCCAATCATAAAGCAATGCCAAAGAAGCGGAAATGCTGATTACCCTGTTTTAGTAAATATTGCAATGTCACATTTTAGCACAAAAATACATATAATGCTTATTGATATAAATTTTAAAAATGACTTGATATGGAAAGCAGAGAAGGTTGTCTTAGAAAATATTACAACTCCAAACCCCTAAAAGCCCTTTAAATGGATGACCTGGCAATTATGTTCCAGGGATATACAAAGGGCTTCAAAAAGTTTGAGAAAAAAAATGGAATTAAAATATAATGTGCCTTTTCAATGAATTTTTGAAGCCCTCTCACATAGGTGAAATTCCCACATTAGGTAGATTTTGAACTTGGGTATTTTTCAGTTCTCTTTAAAGCTCAAGACTTGCACATCAGTATGATATTTAGTTCTGCATATATACAAATATTACCCTAAATATAATTAATCATATGCCTTACACACCAGAAAACACCTGTATAGCAAATTACTCTTTTTGTATGCAACATAGTTGAATTTGGAGCCATTTCAGGGGATAAGATAAAGGTAAAATACACCTAAAATGAACTTCATTGCTGCACAAGTAAAAACAAAAAAGGTCTACCATATTTTAACATATAGAGAAACTAACTTAAATGATAGGCTCCACTTAGTTCCCTTAATGCTGCAGATTTCTATGAAAAAAACAATTATATTGAGACTTAGTTTCCTAAATTCACTAAGCTTCTCTTCACTAAAGCATTTTTTTTTTTTTGACAGGCAGCGTAGACAGTGAGAGAGAGAGACAGAGAGAAAGGTCTTCCTTTGCCATTGGTTCACCCTCCAATGGCCGCCGCGGCCAGCGCACCACGCTGATCCGATGGCAGGAGCCAGGTACTTCTCCTGGTCTCCCATGGGGTGCAGGGCCCAAGGACTTGGGCCACCCTCCACTGCACTCCCTGGCCACAGCAGAGAGCTGGCCTGGAAGAGGGGAAACCTGGACAGAATCCGGCCCCCCAACCGGGACTAGAACCCGGTGTGCCGGCGCCGCAAGGCTGAGGATTAGCCTAGTGAGCCGTGGCGCCGGCCAAAGCATTTTTCTTGGAAATTACTATGTAGTGACAGTTTCAAATTCATAAGTTATAATGGTGGTATATATGTTATATACACATACACACACACACTGAGTAAAGAATGTGGTGGGTAACAAATCCCATTATAGTATTTTCTCACCTTTGGCAAAGCATTTACTATTAAACTCCATGAAGAATTCTCTGATGGGCACCAAACTCTCTTCTGTTATCTTTGTTTAAGGAGGAATGGTGATTTGTTGGTTCTGCTCTCCAACATCCAAATCTTTTTCTAAGCAATCTGGTTTTCTGTGGAGGAATGAGTCTCCTCTTTCCCATTGTGTTTCATTAGTAAGAAGATCATTTTAACTAATGGGTTTGACATTAGTTAAACATTAGTTTAACTAAAGGATTTGACATCCTCCTTAAAGACATCAAATGCAAACCCTTCATCGCCTAAGCAGGAATTATTGGGGATATAGGCCTTCCTATTGGAATCACAAAAAAGGGACATATCACTGACCTATTTCCACCCTACATATAGAATATGGACATGTGATACATGAATGCATTATAAAAAAATTAAGCTCTACCTACCACTAAAGAAGCCCAAAGGTCAAAATTTCCCATTGTTTATCTTGTAAGATAATATGGCCAGGTAAATGCTCTTTGTTGTGAGAGTCCAACTGAGGAAATGTAGCAAGTAGAAGCAAGCACAGTTACAGGTAAGACATCACAGAGGCACCATCCTTCCAAACTACCTAGTGCTTTGGGGCTGCTGTAATTTCTGCTTGTTTTCAAAGAAGGAAACTCAGAAACCTAGAAATCTTTGATCTCATCTATATCCTTCTTATAAATTCTCCCTTGAGAAGGTTTGCCAAAGTTTCTATTGCTGGCAACCAAAATCCATAGATTACCATAGGGCAATAACAAAATATATAATTACAATGCTGAGTTTGGATACATAGTGAAAATTACTAATCCTGATATAAAACTGTTTTAGATAGATTTATTTATTTTTTTAAACTTTTATTTAATGAATATAAATTTCCAAAGTACAGAATATGGATTACAATGGCTTCCCCCCCCCATAACATCCCTCCCACCCACAACCCTCCCCTTTCCTACTCCCTCTCCCCTTCCATTCACATCAAGATTCATTTTCGATTCTCTTTATATACAGAAGATCAGTTGAGCATACATTAAGTAAAGATTTCAACAGTTTGCTCCCACACAGAAACATAAAGTGAAAAATACTGTTTGAGTATTAGTTATAGCATTAAATCTCACTTCCACTTTGACCATGGCCTTGTCTAAAAATTATCAGAGTCAGTGAACTCAGGGGGCTTCCATAGCCTTGGCAGCTCATGACAAGAGCCTAGGTTGATTACTGATGCCATAAACAAGAGTGTCAATTTGTTAAGTCAACAACGAGTCACTGTGCACTTACTCCTCATGTAGGATCTTTGTTTTAGATAGATTTATAAGAATGCTGGGTATAATTTATAAAACTCAATTTTATATTTGAAAAATTTCTATGTACAACAGCAGGAAAAACAGATACCCAGCTTAAAACTCATGAAGACATGACAGATTTCTCTATAGAAAAAACAAACAAATAAAACTAAATCATTTAACTGAAAGAAATTAAAGGAGACCTAACAACTGAGATATGCATCACATTCATGGATTCTAAGACTAAAATTTTTCAAAGATGTTGATTTTTCACTAATTGCTCTAAGGATTGAATTGTATTCAAATAAAATCATAACTCTGTGTCTGTGTGCATGCACATGTAAATAAGCTGATACCAAAATGTGGAGCTGCAAAGACCCAAGAATGACAAAGATCCTACTAAAGAAAAACAAGATGAGACGACATGTTCAATGGAAATAAGGAGTTCTAACAATATAATTATTAAAACAAAGTAAATAAATACAATGCAGAGACCATTATTAGAGCATGCATATATTGGCAACTGATTTTTCTCAAGTTAGCACTTCATACAATACAGTAAGAATCTTTTTCAATAAATTATTCTAGGACAATTTAATATCCACAAAGAACAAAGTGAATCTTGACATATTTCTCACATCATATAAAAAAATCAATTCCAAGGGAACTGTGAATCTAAAGTTTAACAGGCAATATAATAAAACTATAATATAGTATTGGAAAGTATCTTTATGACAGGGTAGAGAAACATTTCTAAAACAGGACAAAATAAATAGAACTATGAAATACAGGATTGGTAATCTGGATTACATAAATTTAAGAATTTATGTTCCCAACCTACAGCATTAAGGGAGTGAAAAGTTAAGTCACACACTGGTAGAAAGCACATGTAACACACACAGTGAATACAGGATTTTTATACTCTGTATGTGTGTGTGTGTTTCAGTTATACCAAACTACAAAAAAAAAAAAAAAACACTTCACAAAAGAGCAAATGGAACTCAATCTAATTAGTCAGATAAGAAAATTAAGACCAGACCCAGATATCAAAAAACAGCAATCAGAATGGCTAGCATTTAAAAAACCTGACAAATAATTGGTAGGGAGTGAAACAATGGAAATACATCAGACTGGTAGGGCGTATATGGTTATAACCACTTTGTGAAACAGTTTGGCATGATCTACTAAAGCTGAAGATACACAGATCTAACAATTTCACACCTGCATGTATAGCCAACAGACAGAAATATAAAATAGAAACTATCAAATATCTATAAGCAATATAATGGAGTTAAAATTACAAAATATCCATAAATTAAATACCATAAAGCAAGGGAAACGATTAGAGTACAGCTGTGTCCAACAGCTAGCATAACCAGCATCATGTTTAGAGAAAGAAGCTAGGGAGGAAAGGATGCATAATGAATGTGTGATTCCATTTATTCAAAAAATGGTGACTCCAACGTGCTTAGCGATGGGCACATAGGATTTTAAACTATAAAGTAAACCAAGGGATTAGCAACATTATATTAGGAACATTGAAGTCAGTATAAAAATTGACAGGAGGCTGAGGAACAGATGGTAATTTAGAAAAGGAGTGTGGCTACCAGAGTCTTAGCACATCTATTTCCTGTCCTGGATGTGTTTGCAAAAGGGTTGGCTTTGCCATAAGTAATTAGGGTGTATAAATCTGTCCTCCAAACTGTTTTGGATAGTTTATATTGCATCAAAATAAAAATTGAAAATTAAAACCTGAAAAATAAAATGAGAAAATTGTACTCTCCAATTTGATGTTATTTCTGATTTCTTTTTTAAATGTTAAGTTATTTAATTTACTTGAATGGAAGAGACACACAGATGGAGATTTCTCATTCACTGGTTCACTCCCCAAATGCCCCAAATGCCCACAACTAAGCCAGGCTTCAGTGAGATTCTGGAAACACACCCAGGTTTCCCACAAGGGTGGTAGGGAATCAACTCCACCTGAGCCTCCCAGAATCTGCATTAGCAGACAGCTTGAACAAGGAGCACAGCTATGACCCCCACTCTGGTATGGCAATGCCAGCATCACAAATAACTTCTTCACCACTAGGCCAAATGCCTAACCTTCTAAATGTTTGCTTTAAAAACTGGAAGCCACAACATTAAATAACAGCACAGCACTGTAATTCTTCTGAATCTGATTTCCTTCCTGCCTAGATTCACATATTTAGCAAAACTGTCACATACCATTCCTTCAACTGACTTCCTAAAACATAATATTGTATGACATTTCTTAAATATATTTTATTGAGATTAATAACAGAAAAAAGTTTCTAACAGCAATAAAATGAATTAAATTTTGAGCACATTAATTATTTATAAAACTTATTGATCATCTAAGTCATCAGTTATTTGTAAATTAGGGAGTAAACATACTTCAGGGACATATGTAAATACATATGTAAGAAATGCCAAGGGGCCAGCACTGTGGCGTAGTGTTTTAAAGCTGTGGCCTGCAATTCTGGCATCCCTTATGGGCGCTGGTTCGTGTCCCAGTTGCTCTACTTCCAATCCAGCTCCTTGCTAGTGTGCCTGGGAGAGCACCAGATGATCCAAGAACTTGAGTTCCTGCACCCACATGGGTTACCAGGAAAGAGCTCCTGGCTTTGACCTGGCACAGTCTTGGTTGTTGTGGGCATTTGGAGAGTGAACCAGTGGATGGAAGATCTTTCTGTCTCTGTCTCTTCTCTCTCTGTAACTCTGCCTTTCAACTAAAATAAATCTAAAAAAAAAAAAAAAGAAAGAAAGAAATGACAAGAGTACCTGTTTTTATCTGTATTCTCTTATACTATATAATACAAAATTCAAAATACTAAATAGAATCGCCTCATTTTTTGCACACGTAATTTATTTCTGAGGTTATTTAACTATCTTCTTTTTGTTCTTGCTTGTTGTGGGACCTAATTCATGTAGATCATGAACTAAATCCATGTACAGCTGTTATCTTCTCTTGAGGCTTAGACAAAATTTCAAGTACCAAAGACTATTCTCAGTAAGCTTAAAATTAATCATGAGGGCAGATAAAAGATACACTATTAAAATTTGCATTGTAGCACTCTCCTAAACATTTTCAACAATACAACATGAAGAAATTATCATGGAGAGAAACATACAAATACCTTTCAGAATAAATAAACTTACCTTCATGAAATAGGAAACTGAGAATATTTGAGTGTTTGAATGTTTTTCCCACTAAATAGAAGTACACAATACACTTAAATATATTCCTTTATTTTAATAAAATATTTGAATCATAAAAAGGAATATATGGAACATATAAATTATAAATGTAATATAATACAAAATAGAATATCCAGATTGTTTTGTACACACCATCCAAATTCTCTAAGAAACTATAAAATTTTTATTTGCTTTACGTATTCCTGATCTCCAATAAAAGACAAACACACTGTGAAAAAGCACTGCTCCCTGTTGTGCTGTACACACTGTGTATGGCTTGCTTGCTATTAGTGTTATCGAAGTTGATAGTTATCTTTCATGAACATTATCATAAAACTGATGAAAACAGAAATGCAGTCAAAGAAAAGTAAAATTAAGGCTATCATAAGGAAAATATCACTAATAATGTTCCCTTGGACATTGTCTTCCAGTCAGAAATGGTTTAGGTAAAACATAACTGAAAACATTAAAAAATGCACTCAGGTTAAGACTCTTTTCTTGGTCATAGGTATAAATGAGATATTATACATTATTTGGATCTCTGTTCAACATCTTCTAAACAAAAGGCTATTCACCCAGTAATGCAATAGAACCATATATGTTGAAATGCATTTTGGTTAGAAATTAACTAAATGTTTTTAAAAATGAAGTATTGGGCCGGTGCAGTGGCATAGTAGATTAATCCTCAGCCTGCCGTGCCGGAATCCCATATGGGCACTGGTTATAGTCCCAGCTGCTCCTCTTCCAATCCAGCTCTCTGCAGTGGCCTGGGAAAGCAGTAGAAGGTGGCCCAAGTGCTTGGGCGCCTGCACCCTCATGGGAGACCAGGAAGAAGCACCTGGCTCCTGGCTTTGGGTCAGTACAGCTCCAGCCGTTGCAGCCTTTTGATGAGTGAACCAACAGAAGGAAGACCTTTCTCTCTGTCTCTCCCTCTCACTGTCTGTAACTTGACCTCTCAAAAAAATAAATAAAATCTTAAAAAAAAAAAATGAAGTATCATCTAATGATGAATCAGATTATTCCCTTAATGGGAAGTAGAACTGTCAAATTCTAATATGATAGGGAACATTTACTGTTAGCCAATTTGAAATACTTTTCTAGACAATAATAATTTTAAAATATCCAATTGATATGTACTCTACATTACTGAGATGGTCTAATATGTCCCCTGAGCCAATACAGAGAAAGCACAACTGTACCAAATTTTGACACTTTTAATGTTTTTGTGAGTATCTTCATATTTATATAAGATACTCTTGAAACAATAGGATAATTGTGAATATTAAAATATAAGTGACATTTTAGGTCATCAAATGGTTATAGAAAGCTTTCTTTGTGTCTGATATAATTCTAAGTGCATAAGCACACATTAGTGTAACACTGATCTTGCTTTTGAGTACTTTATGTTCTATTAAAGAAGATCTGCACACAGTTAACAATAATTCAAAGAAGTCACTGTTGAGTATCATAATAAAGTAAAAAAATCTCAGTACCCTACAAATGTCAGGAAGAAAAGAATCACTTTAGGCTTGATTACATTGAGGCAGGAATTTGGAGACAGCACGTTATATGAGTTTACTGGACTGCCAGCATTTCAACAAATGGCCATGTCAGAAGCAAGACATTATAAGCGGCAGAAGTACAAATAGAGATTGAGTACAAGATGGGGTAAGAGTCTGAATGGGCTTTGGCTGAAATTTTAGCCTCACGTTGGTGGGTCAATTTAAACGTTGAGAGGTTGTCTGAACCATAATTGTGACTGATTTTGGATGCAAAGTTAAGAATTTTGAACTTTATTCTTCAGGGAGATGAGAAACATGAGGGTGAAGAAGCACTATTTTCACTTAGGAGCCCAAATATTATGAGTTCACTGAGACATTTCATTGTAGAGAGATAGTAAAGAGTCTGTTCAAAAATCACATGGATAATGTATATTGGTCAGCTGTTCATTATTATAAAGAAAAAGAAATCCAGTCTTTTGCAATGAAATGGATACAACTGGAAACCATTAAACTTAGTGAAATAAGCCAGTTCCAAAAAGAAATATATCATATGTTTTCCCTGATCAGGGGTAACTAATAGAGTACCTAAAATGTAATGTATTGGCGTGAAATGGACATTTTGAGATTTGATGATTGTTTACAGTCCTTGTCTCTTCCGTTGAGGAACAGTGTTTTTTTTTTTTTTTCATATTATTTGTTGAACTCTTTTATTTAGTGTAGGGTTAACTTTATGATCATTAAGTAAACTGAGAGTAGATCTCTGTAAAAATTAAGAGTGGGAATGGGAGAGGTAGAAGAGTTGGGGGGAAGGAAGTATCACTATATTCCTAAATCTGTATATGTTAAATACATGAAATGTGTAAGTTAAACACAATATTTTAAAAAAGCAAACAAAAGAAAAAGAGATTTATGTAACTCATAGTTTTGGACACTGAATGTCCCAATGGCATGATGCAGGCTCTAGCAAGGCCCCATGCTGGATGGTGGAAGCATGTGTGGGAGAAAAGGGTGCAACACAAGACAGGAAGTTTGAACCACTGGCATTCCACAGTCCTTCTCAGAACTAGCATCGCCAGTGACCTGAAGGCTGTCCTAGACTTGACTCCTTAAACAGTCTACACCATCTGCCAACAGCACCTCCTTTTCAACTAAGTTTCCAAACAGAAATCCTAGGAGGATACACTCAAACCACAGCAGACAGCTAGCAGTGCCTTTTCGACATCAAGACTCTTTCCACAAAACAAAACAGAATGACTACTACAGTAATATAAGCAAGATCCTGTTTGTGACTAATCGCATAATACTACAGAGTGTGGAGCAAAATACTGCAGAAAAAGTTACCTAAGGAGCATCATGAAGTTACTATGAAACAATCTAGTGAATAAAATGGAAACCAGGGGCAACTGCAGTGTGGGATGTGAGTATAATAGAAAACAAATAGTCAAACGGTACTATAAGGAATCTACACAGCTTCTTCACTCAACTGTAAAGGAAATATGAAGATAAATTCAGTGGACAGTTAGTCCCTCCTTATCAAAGTTCAATTTTGAGCATGGGCAGGAGGGAGGATGGGGGGGAAGTGTCACTATGTTCCTAAATCTGTATATATGAAATGCAAGAAACTTGTAAAACTTAAATAAAATTTTAAAAAGCTTATTAAAACTTTAACCCATTTAAATCTAAAAATTTTAAATATTAATTATGCATACACTATGAAACAACTCAGTAATTCCAAAGATAATTTCTAAATATCAAAAGTGTTACAAGATGTACTTATAATACTCAATCCATCTGCTTTACTCTTTCTTTTTATAACATGGGCTAAAACTATCCAATAAATTTAGGGAAAAAATAAGCATGTAGTTATATGGATGAAAATGATTCCTGAAATTGGTATTTTCAATTCACTTATTGTGGAAAATAGTTTATATGCAGGATGATAATTTAACCAAAAAGCTAGAAGAATTAAAATATATTTCTTTTTTTTAAATCAACTGAAAGCATCATTAATTCTAAATATTACCTTGATGCCTGTCACCATGGTATCATATCACAGAACTATTAGAAGAGAAACATTAAAAGGAACTGAAACTCTGATGTCTTTTGTATTCCATTGTAAGTTATATCAAAGCTTAGGAAGTGACAGAAATACTTCACATTCTTTATTCTAAGGTTAAAGTGGGAGACATTTAAAAAGATGTATCTTTGAAGTATTGCTGCCAATTGTAATACTGAGACTAGAACCACTCTCAAGGGTAAGGATCAGGAATGAGGGCACCTACCTGAAAACCTTCTGCTGCTAGCATCAAACACTAAATGAAGTTCACTGCAAACCAACAAAGCAAAGATAACAGATTTGATTAAAATGAGAATCTGTGAGAAAGACCAGGGCAGCTGCTAGAAATGCTACTTTCCTCTAGGCACACTGATAATTTTGCACTAACTTATGAATAGTCTTTTATGTGTTCAAAACATTATACTAGCTGCACTGAACCTGTAGAAGTGTCCCTGCCACTGATCTCATCCTAAATTAAAGACTCAGTAAAAATAAAAATCACTTTTATGGCTTCCATGTAAGCTACTCAGAGTAGCTAAATATTCGATTCTACACCTAAACCTATAGCCACATTTATGTCTTAATATCAGTAACACAGGGTGGTTGAAGGCTCCAATCATGGACAAAAACATGTGTCCTTGTACAAGTGGACATCCACGTGTCAAAAAAAAATCTAAAGACAGACTTACCACTTTAACAACAACAACAACAAATCAACTAAAAATGAACCATAGGTATAAATGTAAAAAACAAAACTATAAAATTTATAGAAGGCAACATAAAAAAAATTAGATGATCCACAATTTTTCAAAAACATTTTGGACACAATACCAAGAGCACGAACCATGAAAGAAGGAATTGATATTGGATTTCATTAATATTTTCACCACCCTCTGTGCAGAACATACAATTAAGAAAAAGAAATGGCAAACCACAAACTGGGAGAAAATTTTGTGGAAGTCACATTAGTAAAAGATGTGCATCCAAACTCAAAGAATACTTTAAGACTCAGCAACAAATAAACAACTTGATTTTTAAAAATGAAACAAATTGAGTGCACACTGTATTTATTAGCCACACAGATGGCAAATGAGCAGATGAACAGTAGCTCAACATGACATGTCATTAGGAAACTGAAAATTTAAATTACAATGAGACACCTCAACATACCTATTAGAATGGCTAGAATCCAAAACATTGGCAAAAACCTGTTGGCTAGATCAGGAGCAATAGAAACTCCCATTTATTTTTGCTGGGGATGCAAAATTATACAGTCATTTTGGAAGACAGTGTGACAGTTCCTAACATAGCTAACACAGTCTTTCTGTATGATCCAGGAACTGCACTTTATCTAAATGAGTTGAAAAATTTTGTCTAAAAAAACTTGAATATAAATGTTTATGCCAACATTGATAATTTCCAAAAACTGGAAGCAATTAAGATATCATTCAATAGGTAAACCAACAAACTATGGTTGGAAAGATTATTCAGCAGTAAGAAGAAATAAGCCATCAAAAAAAAAAAAAAAGACATGGAGGCTTAAATACATATTGCTAATTGAAAGAAGCCAATCTGAAAAGGCTACATACATATGTTTCCAACTAGATGACATTCTGGAAAAGGCAAACTATAAAGACAGTAAAACAATTTTATATTTGCCAAAGATTGGTGGGGGTGGAGCAGTGAGAAGAGACGACCAAGTGGTGCTCAGAGGATTTTTAAGAATGAAAACCTATCATGTTGAAACTATAACAACAGCTACTTGCCATTGTACATTCTCCAAAACCAATAGAGTTTGAAACGCTAAGTAAACCCTACCATAATCTATACACCACAGTAAATTTTAGAGTATCAATACTGGTTTACCAATAGTAACAAATGTTCCACACTAATGAAAAGAACTGGTAACAGAGGAAAATGTGTGGGAGGAGGGTGGAGGGGAAATGGGAACTTTAAACAATATTTCTGTAAACCCATAACTGTTCTAAAACATAAAACCTACTTGTTTTTTAAAATTAACAAAAATGTAAAGTGTTTAGTCTTGAAGAATAAGAGTTCTGTATAATAACACCAGGAAAAAAAAAACTTTGAAGTGTAAATTGCAGGGTTCCATCAAAATGCTTGCAATATTCCTGTTAAGAAAATTACTCTAAAGTCAGTAAAGAAAATATATGTAAATGTCTGAAATATGTGAAAAAATCTTTATTTTATATGTATTCCTAAAATTTGAATGCACCAAATTGTGAAGCCAAGACATTGAGAAAAATGACACTGAATTAAAAACAGAAGCCAAAGAAATAGCCTGTCAGAAAGACAAAAAATAACCATAATGAAAGAAAACTGTCCACTCTTGGCAAAAAATTAGGGTAAATAGGGAAGGGATTGCTATTATATTCTTAGAATTTGTATCTATGAACTACACTTAATCTATTCTGTGTGTATTAATGTTACATTAACATGAAAAAATAAAGTACCAGAAAACACTAAAAACAACAAAAAAATAGTTACATCACTTCAAAAGAAAGAACTTTAACTCCAAAACTAATAAAGATGAAATTGTTTCAAACTTTTTGGAAAGCAAAGTAATAAAAATAGATAGAAATTTTAAATGTGTATACCAATTGAACCAATAATTCCATGTAATGATTTATCCTAAGGGGATTATCAATTAAGGACAAAAAGATTTATGCATAAGGATATTCTTGTAAGTCTTATGCTTATATAATGGGGAGAAATTATAAGTAACACACATGTTCATCAAAATAGCAACTATTAAATAAATTATGGTCACTCCTCAAATTATAAAGAAAATACTTTGCTTAAAAATTGAGCTTGTAATGCAGGCTGTAAAATTATATTTATGGCATGATTTATATAAAATAACATATAGGTTGTCTGCATGTCCAAATCTAAATATGATTATCTGCTTGTGTCTGTACACAGAGAGAAGGGACTGAGGGTATCTGCTTTTATTTTTTATGTCTTACTTCTCAAGAATGTAGCTGTATTAAAAAATTAAAACAAATAGGCAAGCAAAAAACAAATAAGGCCAAACAAATAAGACTTCCCATGAGGGAGACATAACTGCATGGGTTGGCCTATCTCACTGAATTAACATCATCATCATCATCATCATCATCATCCTTCTCATCAATATTGTATCTATAGTTTCTGGCAGCAGGAGTTGGAATTACAAACCTGATTTACCAACTGCTGGAAATCACATTATCCAAGCCAATCTTCCTCTTACTACATTTCTGTCATTTGCCAAGTCCCAAAAATCCTGAATTAGACGGCAGGTGTACACTCTCCTCCCTCCAATTCTTTCTATACCCACAACCTGTGTTGGCTTTTTGAAGGAGGAACTGTATCATGTTGCATGTACTCCACCATCTTCCTGAAATCACCTACTTGCTGCTACAGTAAAGGCAACAAGTTTTACCACTCTGCATGAGTTGCTCTTAGCCACACTCTCCATCCTCACAGTGAGCCACCTTTTTATCTGCACTCCACTCACACCACTCTTCCTTTGGTCCTTCATTCTCCCTTGGCTCCCTCCTGTCACAGACTCTTCACAAGCTGCTGCTCCTTCTTCCCCTTTCCCTAGTTAACTCCTGCTTATCCTTCCATATTATTAACTCAAGCATCAAATTCTCAGAAGCACACTCCTTAGCCTTGCTAATTGAAATGTCCCATTATGTAACCACATTGCATTGTGTATCTCTTCCATTGTTGCACTTATCACAGTTAAAATTTGTGATACATTTTATTAATGTCTGTCTCTTTACCTCAATATAAGCTCCAAAAGTACAGGGAACATGTCTATTTTTACTTAATATTGCATTAGCACACAGTCTGATAAACTTAAGCAACTCAATAAATCATTCATTGAGTAAATATTGAATCATTCAATAAATCAATCACTCAAAACAGCTCAAAGCTAACAGAATATGTATGGATTTATTCTCCATTATTATATCAAGTTTTGTACACATGGCTGTGATGTTCATGCTGTATATTAAGTTTACAACAAGGGATCATGTATGGACAGACTATCACTGATCTTAGAAAGATATACTTTCAAATACTAGTAAAATGAGAACAAAGGGCATTTTCTCTCAGTATTCCCACTTTTTTGCCTAAGCATGCTTGAATTGAGAATCCTTGCTACCATGTATTCAAATGTGTCATTTATGAGAACTTCTGAGACAGTTATAGAAAAAAATAATGGTGATGTTTCTCTTTTCCATGAATTCAATAATCTGAGCGGACACTCTTTAAATATGTTTCCATACACTGAATATGTAAAATACAGCAAATAACACCAAATATACCACTATTCGTATGAATATATTTAGGATTTGATATAATTTTTTAAGATTTATTTTATTTATTTGAAAGGTAGAGTGATAGAGAAATAAAAAGGGAGAAAGACAGGGAAAGAGAGAAAGAGAGAGAGGAAGGAGACATGGGAGAGAGAAAGAGAGACAGGGAGAGAGAAAGATGAGAAAGAGACAGAGACAGAAAGAGAAAGAGATGGAGAAAGAGAGACAGAGACAGAGACAGAGACAGAGACAGAGAAAGAGAAAGAGAAAGAGAAAGAGAAAGAGAAAGAGAAAAAGAGAAAGTGACGTCCCATCTGCTGGCCACTACCTAAATGGCTATAAAACTCAGGTTAGGCCAGGTCAAAGTCAGGATCCTGGAACGTAATGCAGGTCTCCCACATGGGTGGCAGGCGGCCAAGTACTTGGACCATCTTCTGCTGCTTTCCCAGGCGCATCAGCAGGGAGTTGAATAAGAAGCCAAGCAGCTGGAACTCGAACTTGTAGTACTCTGATGCAGGATACCAGCATCACAGGCACCAGCTAAACCTGCTGCACTACAATGCCTCATACTAATTTTTAAACTATCATTGTAGGTTGCTATCTTAAACTTTATATGCATATACATATACATGCACACATCTATATATATATATATTTTTTGTTGTATCTTTTTTAATTTTTTAAACTTTTATTTAATGAATATAAATTTCCAAAGTACAGAATATTGATTACAATGGCTTCCCCCCCATAACGTCCCTCCAACCCGCAACCCTCCCCTTATCCACTTCCTTTCCCCTTCCATTCACATCAAGATTCATTTTCATTTCTCTTTATATACGGAAGATCAGTTTAGCATATATTAAGTAAAGATTTCAACAGTTTGCTCCCACACAGAAACATAAAGTGAAAAATACTGTTTGAGTACTAGTTATAGCATTAAATCTCAATGTACATACAGCACACTAAGGACAAAGATCCTACATGAGGAGTAAGTGCACAGTGACTCCTGTTGTTGACTTAACAAATTGACACTCTTGTTTATGGCATCAGTAATCACCCTAGGCTCTTGTCATGAGCTGCCAAGGCTATGGAAGCCCCCTGAGTTCACCGACTCTGATCATATTTAGACAAGGCCATGGTCAAAGTGGAAGTTCTCTCCTCCCTTCAGAGAAAGGTACCTCCTTCTTTGATGACCCATTCTCTCCACTGGGATCTCACTCGCAGAGATCTTTCATTTAGGTTTTTTTTTCTTCCCCCCTTGGCTTTCCATGCCTGAAATGCTTCTCATGGGCATTTCAGCCAGATCCGCACGCCTTAAGGGCTGATTATGAGGCCAGAGTGCTGTTAGGACATTTGCCATTCTATGGGTCTGCTGTGTATCTCACTTCCCATGTTGGATCATTCTCTCCCTTTTTGACTCTTATCAGCTAGTATTTGCAGACACTATTCTTGTTTATGTGATCTCTTTGGTTCTTAGTCCTATCATTACGATCAATTGTGAACAGAAATTGATCACTGGGACTAGTGAGATGGCATTGGTACATGCCACCTCAATGGGATTGAATTGGAATCCCCTGGTATGTTTCTAACTCTACCATTTGAGGTAAGTCAGCTTGAGCATGTCCCGAATTGCAGATCTCTTCCCTCTCTTATTCCCACTCTTATATTTAACAGCGATCACTTTTCAGTTAAGTTTCAGCACTTAAGAAGAATTGTGTATTGATTACAGTATTCAACCAAAAGTATTAAGTAGAATAAACAAAAAAAATACTAAGAGGGATAACATATCAAGTTACTCATCAACAGTCAGGGTGAGGGCTGATCAAGTCGCCGTTTCTCATAGTGTTCATTTCACTTTAACAGGTTTCCTTTTTGGTGCTCAGTTAGTTGTCACCTATCAAGGAGAACAAGTGGTATTTGTCCCTTTGGGATTGGCTTATTTCACTCAACATGATGTTTTCCAAATTCCTAACAGGGATCACTTTTCAGTTAAAATTTAAACACCTAAGAATAATTGTGTGTTAATTACAAAGTTCAACCAATGTTACTAGAACAAAAAAAAAATACTAAAATGGATAAAGTATTACATTGTACATCAACAGTCAGAAGAGAAAAGACTCCAGGAATTGGTTTTGGATCCTTGATCAAATATGAGTTGGCCTGTAGAATCAATTCAAACACATCTATATATATATATATATATATATATATATATATAATGAAAGAGAGAGAGAATACTTTTCTTTAGAAAATCTTCTAGTTTCTTTATCAAGACAGCCTGAGCTGAAGGCCTCTGATACAGGCCATCATGCTCAGCTGGTGAGATTAAGAATAAAACCAGGATTTCCACAGATATCATATAGAGCTTCCGGAACAGTGTCTTCAACTCCTGGCTTATACTCTTCTGAAAGGCAAATTGGATTCTGCATGAGACATACTCTGGAATTCAGCCAACTTCCACTGATACCCAGGGGCATGAATGCTTTTTGGTGAGATTACATGGAGGACCACATCCGAGTGTATGAAAGATCCCTTTAATTATGGGAAGAATAACTCAAGCTTTACATCTCCTGACCATTGTAATTATTCAGCAACAAAAAGATAGATGTGGATTTTGGCACTCAGAAGAGGAACAGGTTTTTTGAGCAGAAAGCTGTTATGTAAACTATAAGTTAAAGAAGTAAGCCCAGAAACAACAAGCCATAAATCTTGTTAGACTCATCTTTGTATAAGAGTATTTCCAAAATCACTTGCCTTGTAAAAAGCAATCTCAACCAAGGCTATAGTTAAATGTGAAGTACAATGGTGACATTTTGAGAAAGGATCAAAATTTCTAAAATCATCGGGAAAACACACTTTCTAGAAATCTTATAATCTGGCACACTTTGGGATGTGCACTGGGCTGCTTCTAACTTGATTTTACACCTGACTGGACTTCCGTGAATCATCAGTATAAACATTGCTCAGTTCTTTCTGTCCTTTTTTGCAACGCTGCATGCAAAAAAGATGGTTATCTAGGTTTTCTGCATCAACGACTCCAAGTTGTATGGGGATACACTTCAATGTAAGGAAGACATGGAATGAAAAGATGCATTTCTGGTTAAGGGAGGAGGGGGTCAGAGTATTTACCAGCATACAAGGACTCTACACTGGAATGAAAGTGGAAAAAAGAGGGAGAATTTCTTTAGCATAAATAGTCTCTGTAATTGTCTGTACACAGATTATTTAGACTATAGTAATTGTTACATTTATATTTCTAATTAAATCATATTTAGGGTTCTAGAAACAATCCCCAAAGGAAAGTTTTCTGGCTACTTTAAGGAAGAGCCAAATATAATTTCTAGTTCAGTATATGCTCCATAGTAAAACTCTGTAAGGGCAGTCCAAGAAACAAGCCCATTCTAATCTGCCTGCAGAATTCACACATTGATTATGAAGGCATCTGGAAACTGCAGAGTCCTTGAAGATGTGAGGTCCTGAGTTCTGGTGAACTTAGTTGATAATCACATTTGTTAAAAAAAAAAAGGGGATAAGAAAGTATCTGCTTCATTAAAGAAGTAAACAGAAGCAAAAAAAAAAAATAGAGAGAGAAAAAACTTCACTGGCTTTGAAATGAGTCTTCTTTTTAACTGTTAAATGAAGTTTTTATTTAAAGTAAGATTTGCTTTTGATTACCTTTGTGCATTTCCCAAACAAGCCTATATGAAGACACAATACCCTGCATAGAGTGGATGCTCTATAAATATTATCAACTATATTGAATGACTATTTATAAAGAAAAAAAATTGTTGCTACTTATATGATATTTACAAGATGCCAAAGAAATTTGATTTCTGAAAATGGTTTGCAAATTTCCAGGTCTTGAGAATAACACGTACAGTGATTTCATTGCAACAGTACTATGTTTAATATTGAAATGAAGGAATGCTGTACTAAAAAATAAGAAATCTGTTACTGAAATTTTAAAAATCTTCTTTTGGTTTAAGAAAATACATGGAAAGCTTTAAAAAAAAAAAAGGAATAAGAGGGAGAGCATTTGGCCAAGAATTTAGGTACCAGTTAGGACACCCATGTGTCCCAGATCAGAGTGCCTAGATTGGAACTCCATCTACCTCTGAATCCATATTCCCATTAATGTGTACCATAGCAGGCAGCAGGTGATAGCTCATGTTGTTGCATCTCTGTCATCCATGTGGAAGACCTACATTGAGTTTTAGATTCCTAGATTTGGCTCCTTGTTTCAGATTGTTGCAGGTACTTTGGGAGTAAACAAGCTGGTTCAGTTTCTTTTTCCCTCTCCCTAAAAATAAACAAATAAAAAAAAATTTAAAGAGGGATCAGAAATTATTATAATAGATGAACACAACTGTCTTCACCTGAATTTCTTTTCTGAAACCTGGATGTTTTAAAAAATAAACAATATCATACCTATTTGCTAGAATTCTACCATAATTTATACAAATTCTTAAGCTCTTTTCTGTGTTATAAAATACCCAGACATTTCAGAATGAAGATGATATAAGTGGGGTGCAAACAAGTGTCTCATGACATTGACGTTCTTTCTGTTTCTGTCATCTTAAATATCAAGATTGTCCTTTCACCCATAGAGTTCACATAAACATTCTTTTTTTAAAAGGCTCATGAGTACCCACTACTGTTCCACTACTTCACTTTCAATCCTGTTTTTTCACAGCAAGAAGATGGAGACATTTTCTGAGCTTAACTATAACCTTTACTATCATTAAAAGAACATAGTTTGGGAAAGCATTCTATTCTAGTGGTTAAGAAACTACACAGGATCCCTGCTTCCCATGCTAGATAACCTGGATTCAATCCTTGGTCCTGGTTCCAGCTCTGATTCCACCTTCCTGCTCATGCAAACCATGAGAGGCAGCAGAAGATATCTCAAGTAGCTGGGTCCCTGCCATCCTTGTGGGAGGCTTGGATTGAGTTCCCAACTTCCAGCTGTCGGCCTCCCTAATCATTGCTGACATTTAGGAAGTGAAGCAGCAGATGGGAGGTCTCTATCTGTCTTTTTATACTCTCTTATTTTTTTTTAATTTTAAAAAGGGACACAATAAGTTGAAAATCTATAGCTACTAATTACCCACCATTTGAAATGACTGTTTCTATATATTTGAATATATGATATGTTTCAAACTTTCAAGATGTTAATATAGACAAATGTACCAAAAGTTATACCTTTACATCTAGGAATTATACACCTAGAAATTTAGTTTACAAGAATAATTAGAGATAGGCTCAAAACATTGCAGATGTAGTTTCCCATTATGACATGATGTTATAATTGAAAAAATAAAATCAACCTAAAGACAGTAAACTACCAAGTTGGCTAAATAATATATAATATTATGACTTTGTGCAGCTGTAAATAACAGGAAATCCTACTAATGGAGGTTTTAACTCATAAGAGTTTGTTTTTCTCAGATGAGAAGTCTACTCACAAGTAGTGGCTGGTACTGTTCTAGGTACTCAGTGATCCCTATTTGAACACAGGTTTTTTATACATTTCTGCTCTCACAGTCTTAGAATATTGCTTATGTTCTCAAAGGTGAAGCATGGCATACAACTCTGCATTTTCTTTTAAGTACCAAGAGTGGGATAATGATCAAACATCTCTATGCATCAGTCCATTTTGTTAAAGAAAGCAGAAACTTCAAAAATCTAGCATAAGACATGTATTAAATACTACTGGTCACAACTGAGTTACATTACCAATTCCAGCTGGAAGAGAAATGTAAAAAGTGAGTATTGCTTTTTCAGCCTCAAATCTTAGAAGTGAAAAGAGACGAGGTGAAAAGTGAATGTGGAGTTAGGCAATGCATGGAACTGACCATTATAGTAGTCAGAGTTCTAGAGAGAAACAGAACCAATAGACTACAGATAGATAAGAACAGATTTATTATGAGGCATTGACTCACATACTATGGAGTCCACAATCTGCTATCTGCAAGTTGAAGAGCCCGGAAAGCCACAGGTGAAGCTCAGTCTGAAAGCCTGAGAACCAAGGGAGCCATTTATGTAAGCACAGCCCAAGACTGATGGCCCATGAGCCAGGAGTGCAACTCTGGAAGGCCAGAGAATATGAATATTCCAGCTCACAAAGAGAGAGGGAAACTGTGCTTCCTTTGCATTTTTGTTCCATTCATGCCCTCGGTTGGATAACGACTGTCCACGTTGGTGAGAATCATCTTTACTCCATCTACCTTAAGAGCTAGTATCGTTCAGAAGCATTCTAACAGGCCCATCAAGAAATACTGTTTGAGGCCAGCGCCACGGCTCAATAGGCTAATCCTCCGCCTTGCGGCGCCGGCACACCGGGTTCTAGTCCCGGTCGGGGTGCCGGATTCTGTCCCGGTTGCCCCTCTTCTAGGCCAGCTCTCTGCTGTGGCCTGGGAAGGCAGTGGAGGATGGCCCAAGTGCTTGGGCCCTGCACCCCATGGGAGACCAGGAGAAGCACCTGGCTCCTGCCTTCAGATCAGCGCGATGCGCCGGCCGCGGCAGCCATTGGAGGGTGAACCAACGGCAAAATGAAGACCTTTCTGTCTCTCTCTCTCAGGGTTTCATCCCTCGCTGTCTGAGGAAATTACTGAGAGAAAAATGTAGACGGTAGATGCTCATCACCACGCATTCTGGGTGATGGTTCTGTTTGAGTCGTCTTGAATCATATTAAGCTGTCATCTGAAATATACGTACACGAAATCAAGATACTATACACTTAGATAGATCTCATCAGAGGCAGAGACTTTTTACTGTTTCTTTCATATTTCTGAGAGTAGGTTAGAGGTCACCACTTGACACAGTAAGTAATTGATGATAGATGAATGAAATATAGGCATTCACCCCACATATTTTCTTTTTCTTTCTTTCTTTTTTTTTTTTTTTTTTTTTGACAGGCAGAGTTAGTGAGAGAGAGAGAGACAGAGAGAAAGGTCTTCCTTTTGCCGTTGGTTCACCTACCAAGTGGCCGCTACAGCCATTGCGCTGCAGCTGGCACGCTACACCGATCTGAAGCCAGGAGCCAGGTGCTTTCTTTTGGTCTCCCCTGCGGGTGCAGGGTCCAAGAACCTGGGCCATCCTCCACTGCACTCCCAGGCCACAGCGGAGAGCTGGACTGGAAGAGAAGCAACCGGGACAGAATCCAGTTCCCTGACCGGGACTAGAACCCGAGGTGCCGGTACCGCAGGTGGAGGATTAGCCTAGTGAGCCGCAGCGCTGGCCCACCGCACATACATTTTCAAAAGATATTAAGAGCTAAAGAGTTTCCTATAAAATATTAAACAAAGAAAGCAGAATGCAAATCTATTAATTCTGTAATTACAATTCTGAAACACAAATTTGCCAAGTAGGAAGATAAGATTGAGATTAAGAATGGTTCTCTCCAATTAGTTTTACTCCAAGTAACAACCATGCTGAACCTCAGTTTCATTGCAAAATGGATAACAGAAGCTGTAACTCAAAATTCGTTATGATCATGAAACAAATGTCTCAGTTGCTAGGTATCCTCAAGAATCTGTTTTCTTCCCTTCCTCATTTCTGATTAGCTTTTTAGCTAATAATTTTCTATCTGATCCAATGTTGTTTTCTAGCCAGATTCTCTACACATCTTCTCCAGACATCTTACATGAGACTTACAATTACCTTCTGCTGATCCTCTACTTGAGGCCAACCAAGAAATGGTAAAAATATACATATGTATATCTATATTTTGGGGGAGTACATTTGGATCTTCTAATTGAAACAATATTACTCCCTAATATAAAATATTTTAGTGGTATAAGTGATTCAGTCTTTTAACAACCACATTGTGTCATGTACTCTATTGTACTACATATAATATAGTTGCTATGTTCAAGGGGCACACATTCCAGAAAAAGACAGATGGACTACAAATTATAGGTAAAGGAGGCTGATGCAGGGGTAATACTAAAACCATACTGAGTGTTTGCAAGCATAGAGGGAGGTAACAGGGTCTAGCAAAGGCAGGAAGGATCAAGGCAGCTTTATGGAAGAGATGCTACAAATGCAGATTGATACCATGGGAACAGTTAGACTTCGAATGAGAGAAACAGGGGGTGAAGCATTTAAGAAGAAGACAAAGGGAACATCTTCTGAAGAATGATGCATTTCTACCCCAAGAAGCTTGCAACATATTTTCCTTTGTCACTTTACTCACAAAGCCACTTCAAAATCCAGCAGTTTTCTGATAAATGAAAATCCTCCATTCTTGCAGCAAGGAAAGGTCTTAAAACTGATAACAGGAATTCTTTCTGAGCTCAGATTTGTGTCTGTGTTTAAACTTCTACAAAATCTGGACAGATTTCAAACACTCTGCTTTAATTATTTTAAAAACCTAGGGCACTATTACAAGTTGTATCTTGGTGTATAGAAATAACTCCACATTATCTTTCACTGAAGTACAAGTATAATTAAAAGCCTTTGGAAATTCATATGTTAGACTTCAGCAGCTCATGTATAATATAGCAGGACACTTTTTTAGCCACTAAGAAAGAATGACACATCTGTTATAAACATCATTTCTCTTACATAAAATAAACGTATATGCAAAGTCTTTATGTGTACTAAAGGAGCTCACCTTTCCTTGAACTTCTTTGTCCCTCTCCTCCGCCTACCTAACCTGTACTTAAGCTTCAGCAGGAATAAATCCTTTCCTTATTCTGGAACCATGAGAGAGAAGTCTTAAGTTCCTGTGCCTTTCATCCTAACAACTGTCAAGTAATTGTCCATCTCCTTCACTACATTTATAATGCTCACAGACTATAAGCCCTCCTAAAAGGGTCAGTGCAACTGTAATTAAGACTCCAGACTCCAGACATGAGCTGCCTGGAGTGAAATTCTAGCTCTGCCACTCAGTGGCTCTGCCTCTGTGTTCCTCACCTACTTATCCTTTGGTTTCTTCATTTGTAATAGAGTCCTTAAGAGTACACAGTTCATGAAGTTGTTATGAAGAAAGTTATCTAGCACTTTTAAAACATTTATTCTGGAGCTTGATTCATAACAAGTAATATATGTTTAGCTATCTTAAAATTATTACTTAGTCATCAGTAAATGCACACAGTATGATTCTTGTCATTTAACAGATTATAAAAATGTGTTGACTAAATGGATGGAAGAAAATGATTTACCAAATTTCTTTTCTCCCATCCTGTTCTTCCCACTTTACTTGGGGCTCTTCCTCCTGCTTTCTTGGACCTCATTTGCTTCTCTTTTCTTATTTTTTTCTGACCTCTTCCATTCTCATTTCACAACATGGGTCAA